CGTTTGCATCGGTCCCTGCGATAGGACAACCCTAGGGCCCTCGGTGGGCCGAAAAATCACGAAAAACCAAAACTTACCGGCAGCGGTGCTCTCGGGTGCGGCGGCTCCTCCAGCGTGAGTCGCGTTTTGATGTTTGGCTCCGATCAACCTATAGAGAAAGGAACGGTGATCACAGTGGTATAAAATTTGCATCAAACGGAGGCCGGGAAGGGCCTCATCGGAGGCAAAAACCGAGGAGGGGTGCGGCGGTGCCGCTGGGTTTCGGCTGGGTTTTCCAGCCGTTTGGCCGGTGGTTTGGCTCCGGTTTGGCCATAGACGGACTCAGCGTCGAAAAACGAGCAAGGGGGAGAAAAATTACCTTGATCGACGGTCGGAAACTTCCCTGGTGCGGCGGCGGGTGGCGGCGGCCGGCTCCTCCGGCGTCTGGTTCTTCTTCTCCGGCGAGCACTGGCGGCTAGGGTTTCTTTGGTCAGGTGTGGGTGGGGGTATTTATACCCTTTGCCTTTTAATTTTGACCGTCCATCAAGATTAAATCTGGGCCGTCCGATCGCGATTTAATTGGGATTAAATCTGGACCGTTCATCGCGATGCAATCTGTGCCGTCCGTGCCTGATTGAATCTGGGCCGTCCATGCGCACGTTTGATCTGGGCCGTCCGTGTGCGCGGGAATGGATCTGGGCCGTCTGATTGCGCGCACGCGGATCGCCCACGTGGCCCGTTCCCTGGTCAGTGTTGCCTTGCCACGCGGCGCGTTCTGGTTGGCCGGGGCTGCTGACCGGGTCGCTGACGTGGCTGCTGACGTGGTGCTGACGTGGCACAACTTTTCTAAATTGCGTTTTGACCCCCGATTTCCGATTTTCTTTTCAAAAACACTCCCAGAATCCAAATTTTCACCCATTTTTACCCAATTTTATCATTTTTATTATTTATATTTTCATTGAATTAAATTAAACTAAGTTAAATAAAAAATCAAATAAATAAATAAAAAAAATAATAAATAAAGTATTTATTTATTTATTTGGGTGTTACAACTTTGCCTTCACACTGTTGATTGCGGGTTAATTTAGGAAGGTTTATTAGGGATTTAAGTTCTCTGCATATTAATGTTATACGCGGGGTTTTAGATTGTATTGTTGATCTCGGGTTCTACATAAGATTATTTCCGAGGTTGATGTGAAAAAGGCGTATGATCATGTATTCCATCATTCTTTTATATGCTTAATAGGATTGGGCTTTGTTACTAAGTAGTGCTTTTGGATGAAGACTTATACTTTGCTTCGTTTGTTGCTTTGGTTAATGGGATTTTCTTCGAAGCATCCAAAAGACTCGGATAAGAAAATGTTATTCTCATGATCATTTTATAATTGTGATAGCAGCCCTCCATTTGATTAATAGAGCTATAGAAACTCAATTTTCTTTCTTTTTTTTGCTGGTCTAATATTAGGGAAAATGAGGAAGCTGCAGATATTACTTATCTGTTTTTTGTTGACGATAAATTACTTTTTGGCGAAGCTGGTTTTTCTTCTTTTCTTTCAAGTGGTATCTTTACTCTGAATGACTTAATTGTTTCCAGTTGGTATTTCAAAAAAAAAAAATTTGTTTCCAGTTGGAGAAGGGAGTAATTTGGTCCTCCTTGTTGGTATTTTGAGATGTAAGGTGTCTTCTTTCCCTATAAAATATTTAGGTCTATCTCTTGGTGCTAAAATAAAGATGTTTCCAGTTGGAAACACGATAGTGAACAAATTTGAATTTGGACTTGGGGGATGGAAGATGAATTATCTAAGGCGGGAAGATTGATACCCACAAAAGGCACTTTGGTGAATCTACTAATTTATTAGTTG